TCTATGGAACTATATGAGGCTCTAAACACCTAAACAATTTACCAAACATCAGAAATATAAACATCACAATGGTAGCCTCAAGAGATAATGAACTGCCCTCTACCTACTGCTTCTGCCACGTTATTGCAATATCTTCCCTATTCGACAAGCATTATCCCCTTAAAGTTAAACTTCTTTTTTAAGCTAAACTTAATTCTTGCAAAGGTACCTTACTGGAAAAGATGAGATGGGGAAATAAAAACTATATGATAAGATCAAGTGGGTTGTTGTACACATATAATCCCAGGTCTCAGAAGGCTGAGGGAGGAGGATAAGATTTAGCCCAGCCCAGGCTATGTAGCAAAACTCTGTCTCCAAAACTAAACATATCAAAACCACATGACTAAAGGGAAAAACTAATGAGCTAATTCCTTGAGGTCAACAACTGACAGCTTTTGTCTTAGTATTAGCTTATCAATCTTCATAACTTCTAGAAAAGTAGCTATTGATCTATCACATCTCAGAACACTGTACTAGCTTCAAGTCATATTTATGTCTTAATCAAATACTGAAGTTGAAGAGCGGCGCTTGAAGGCTCCAGGCATAAATGATACAGAGACAGAAATGCTAATTACTCTGGTTTGATCGATACATGCTGTACATAACTGAAATATCACACTTGACCCTATAAATATGTACAGTTATTACCTGTTAACAGAGCTGACGTTACTAGAAAAGGATACACAGCACTGAGAGAAGGAAGGCTTTCGATTCAATATAAACCTTAGCAAGTAACTACAAGAACTGCACATATTTCTATTTGGATGCATTTACTGCTAAGTGATACTAAGTGACAATTATCCACTATTAACACGCCTTTTTATGGAGAAGCATTTATTAGATTTATTCAGGAAATTTGCTTATTATAGCTATTTAGCTCAATTTTCTATTGTAATTACAATTATATCTTTCATTTGAGGAATAAGTAAGAAACTAAGAAAAACAGTATCAGCATCTAAGGAAAATGAGGAGGACCTTATCTCTAGGAAAAGAAAACAATACACTTGATTAAACATCATTGCTGTTACAAATTCATAAGGATTAATTAAGTTTTGTTTACTTCCATTTCTTTCTTTCTTTTCCTCTATTTCTCCAGTACTGAGTCTAGAACCCAAGGCCTTACACATGAGTTAAGAATTCTACAACTGATCCATATCCCCAAACCTGCCATTCTTTCTAAAAACATCAAGCATTTTCAACTTGTTACCATTAGGATTTATGAACACTAGGGGAAAAATTAACACAATCAAAGCCATTTGTTCTTCATGCACTGAATCAAAGATCACCAAGGCAGTCTTTAATTAAAGATGATTTTGAAAGTTTCTAAAAATGGATAGGAGAAATTAAGTTTTGGGTCTACCTGAGTTGGTGACAGCCATTTGCCACTAAGTGTGAATGAAGGTGGGGAGGAGGATGGATAATCTGGTGGCAGTTCAAAGTTCAGCACAAGTGGTGGCAGAAAGCAAATGGTGTATTCAAAGCCACTATTCTGGAGACACTCATTTGAATTGCCTGAACCAAAAACAAAAATCAGAAAGGATCAGTTGATCAACACTGGAGTGTCCGAAACTAATGAGCAGTGCTCAGCCCCAATGCTTTTTAATAAGGGGACAAAAACCCTCCCCCAAATCACCTCCATCCCATAAGGTTTATTTTCTAGTCTCTGTCTTCAAATGCAAAACACCTTATAAGCCCTTGAATAATCTATTTAGGTGCCATGAAAGGTACGAAGTCACACAACTCATTCTTTTAAACACGCCCTAGCACAATAGTTGGTTTATGGTAGACACACAATCTAAAGAAAAAGATAGTTATTTCTATGAAATAACCATGGCTTACTAAGACCAGCATATGCCAACTAATCTTGAATCCACTGGGGAAGTTTGTGCCAACAAACTAGTATCAGGCTTGAGGAAAGAACCCGACACACAACACCTGTGACTACAGGTTCGTCTCAGGTTCCAGAGAAACACTGTGAGAAAATGTGCATCAAGGTCTCTGCCAATGAAGAAAACACTTTTGAATTTCTCCAACAAGAGCTGGCACAGTAACAGCATGTTCCGTACCTGTCCACAGCATAGCAGAATCAACCATGTGGCACTCTAGGGTGCTCCAACGATCTTCACAGCTGCACAGTATTGCCTGTTGTCTTTGATTACCTCCAATAATCAACGACTGCTGATCAAGTACTAATTAGAAGACTAGGCTGCATGAACTATGCAGGATATTTCAAGTCAGTGCTCAAAAGGCAGCATCAAATCAATAATGGTTTTACCCTGGCCCAACTTTCTTTTAAAACAGAAAAAAATGCGTTAAATCTGTGCCTCTAATACTTATAAATAATTCCTTAGGGCCATACACACAAACGACAACTAAAATATGTTAAGAAATTGATAATTTTTATTTAGAAAAATCTGTGTTAAGATATAACTAACCGCTCACAAAGATCTTGAAATTCTGTGGCAGATCCAAATAGATCCTGGTCTCTCCACCCTGAACGGACTCTGCTTTTCTAAACTCGTCTGCATCATAGATACTCGCCAGGGCCAGCAGTTCATCCTCCTGGGCTTCCAGGTCTTCTGACGACATTGACTCTCCTGAGGGTTAAAGATGAGCATTCAAGTCAGGTAAGAGCAGAGAAAGCACACAACTGGGGGAAGTCTCATGGTATATAAAAAGTCCTCACAAGAGAAACCATGCCTCAAAAAAATAAAAAAAATTCCTGACAAACAACTGCAAGGTCCTCATCAAATTTTTTTCTGCTGAATGCCTAGCACTCTGTGCTGACAGGCTAGCTTCGGGTTGCAATGCTTTTAATGACTAATCCAGGAAAACAACAGCAACTCTGCAGTTGCTCCCTTACAACCATACTTCCTGAAACTGAAATGGGGGCTGGTCTCAAACAAAACCGACAGTGTGTATGCATTCTAAAAGATAATGCCACAAATCTGAACATCCGTTTAAATGACTCCATTTTCTTCTTTTCAGAAACAGTTCCACTTTCAGAAAAATAAGTAAAAAAATACTGCTTTTCCTCAGCAGTGGTTACACTGTGCTTAAACTCAGCTCTGTCTAAAGCACGGTGACATGTTCCATTTTAGGTCACTTAGTACCTGTTAGTAACAACCAGGAGAAAAGGATATTAACACTGCAGTCTGTATTTCAGTTCGGCCTGGAATTTGTGCAAATCCCATTTATTTTCTAGCCAGTGGAGCTGAGACTGAGGCTCGGTGAGAAGCCAAGATGTGGGACGTGTATCAAGTATTCTACAGAAATTCTGCCATCTGCAAAAAAGAAACAGGAAAGATGTGGTAGGACACTCTCCAGATTCAAATTCCCCATCTGTACTATCATCACTTACAGCAGACACCCTAACACATAGACCCTAATCCACAGGTAGCATAACTCTCCAAAGACAGGCTGAGTCATGTGGTTAAAGGGCACCTTCTTGTTCCTGAGTAACGACACCTTATCACACTGCCCTCAGCCCGGTAACGGAGGTGGTTATAGGAGATGACATGACACCACGCCCAGAAATATCTTAAATTTGTTTTTGCTTTCTCCTTTCCTCTTCTACTTCTTCTGTGCCTTCATTTCCTGTCTCTTCTGGCTTCTATTCTCACTTGCTCATAAAATAACCTCACAGTTGATATAGTTAACTCTGAAGGTAGGATAACATCTTAAAACAGAACAAGGGCATAAGCTTTCAAGATTTACTGTGTTTGGACAGGCTTCCTTGACTGAGGCTGTAGCTCAGTGGCACAGTGACCTCTTAATTAAAGTTCATTTTTAGAAAAGTGTGGTCCATAGATGAGTTATGGAATGTGAGGCACAATACAAAATTATGTGCAAAAATGTTACATAAAATTTTAACTTTGAAGCTGGGCAAGGTGTAATCCCGGCGCTCTAGGAGGCAGAGGCAGGGGGATCTCTGTGAGTTCAAAACCTGTGTGGCCTACAAATTGAGTCCAGGACAGCCAAGGATACACAGAGAAACCCTGTCTCCAGGGAAAAAAAACAAATGAACAAACCTCTTCACTTTTAAACTATATTCTCAGAAATGATTCACAAATGAATGTTAACCCTTACAGAGTACCAACTGTACTAGGTCTGATTACATTACCTTACTGAAATCTTCAACAATCTAACCAGAAAATAGCAAGGACAGAATTAAGCCTTTTGTTTCTTTCTTTCTTTTCTTTTCTTTTTTTTTTTTTTTTTTTTTTTTTTTTTTTTTTTTTTTTTTTTTTTTGGTCTTTTGAGACAGGGTTTTTCTGTGTAATAAGCCCTAAGCCCTAGCTGTCCTGGACTCCCTTTGTAGACCAGGCTGGTCTTGAACTCACAGAGATCCTCCGGCCTCTACCTCCAGAGTTCTGGGATTAGAGCAATTCGGCACCACACTGGCCTACCTTTTGTTTTTATGTAAACAAAAAATTTTCAGATACGAGAGATATATTTGAGTCCATCTTGTCTGCACATCAGAATCTTCTGAGGAAACTACCCAGGCCCTATTCAAGAACAATTAAATCAGGCCTCTACAGTTGAGTTGGCTTTTCTCTCAAATTTTTAGAAAAAAGACAAAAGTAGGTTTCATGGCAGCATTTTCACACACAATTTGCTTCTGTTGAGATTCCTTCCCCCTTAGCCTTGAACCCCTAGCCAGTCAGTGGTGTTGCACACCTTTAATCCCAGCACTCAGGAGGCAGAGGCCAGCCTGGTCTAAAGAACGAGTTCTAGGACAGCCAGGATTACAAATAGAAATCCTGTCTCAAAAAAAATAAAAGCAACTCCTCTCTCTTTCCTCCATCTCCCTTTGTACCTATCCACCCCTAGACTCCTCCCCTTTCATCGTTCATGTCACATGTGTTCTATTATCCCCTCCCCTCCTGAAAATCTCTATTTTTCCTCTCAGTCTTTTTAGTTTCATAACCTATGCCCACAATCACTCTCTCTCACACACACAAAATACAGAATGCTTCATGAATTTGGATGTCATTTTAGCACATAGGCCTTGCTCATCTCTGTATCATTTCAATTTCAGCATATGTGCTGCCAAAGAGAGTACACATCTAGTCTTCCAAAAAGTACAGCTGATTGCAATATGCAACCTGGTCTGATAATCCTTACCCTAAATAAAACCTCTTTGACCTATCCTCACCTGAACCCAGCTCAACCAGAAGGCTGGGCCTAAGTGGCCCTTGATTCAGAGTGCTAGCTTTCACTTCCTGAGTTCATCTACCTAACCTTTGAGGGCAAACTCTAAAGTCCCAACTCCACATAGTGGTTTTCCAACAGACATTGCCTTCTTTAAAATAGAACCTTGCACTTCCACTCCTGTTAGCCTGCATTAGTTCCTTATGGGACAGGCTCAAATCTTTTCTACCTATTATCCCTAGTGGCCTGGACACTGAGAAAATACCTGGAGTAAAACGTAGTGAGCTGGAATGGAAGACCAGGGGCATAGGAGTCAGTGATCACTTTGCCAAACTCCACTAGAAGCAGGAGGTTGGGTCCGTTGTCACAGTAACACTGGTAAGAATAGTAACAATTAGTGAGTTCTTACCGGTGTCAGGCCTGCGCTAACTAAACCCTTTCCAAGAACTGACGCTTGAGCCCACCACCACGTGAAGCAAGTCCTATTACCATTTTCATTAACCAAAATTAGACAAATAACAGCCTGTACTCTTTTCTGGCCTATCTCTGGGCATAAAATGTCTAATTTCTTCATCTGTAAGAATAAACCCTGGCAGCACCTAAGTTTCATAACACTACTGTTGCAAACCGGAAGCCTCTCCAGCAGGGCGTGGAGCCCCTCCTCCGCCAGGTTTCCCTAGCTTGAGAAAATCCTACTCTTCTTCCTCGCCACTCCCTTGCACGCTCCGGCGCTGGGGTCAGCCAGGGTCTCTCCCCGCCGTCTGCCAATCGCCATGCAGACTTGTTTGTGCGATTCCCCAGCAACACCGGGCAAGATCAGGCAGGGCCCCCACGGCTCGGGGCTGGCAGCGGCGCAAAGGAGCGGGCCCAGGGGGGTGCCGGAGGCGCAGGGCCCATCCGCCCCGCCCTGTCCCCTCCGCGCCCAAGGATCCGGCCGCCGCGTCCCAGGCAGGGGAGAGGGGTGTCCACCAAGCAGGCCCGGACACTCGGCTCCGCCTCGCGCGCTCACAGCGCGTCCCCGCCGTACCTTCCGGCCGCCCCTCCGAGCCCTGCCCGAAAGTTCCGCACTACGCCCTCGCCCAAGGGCCCGCACCGCGATCGCCGGCCAGGCCTGCAGAAAACCGGCTCCACCTGAGCACCGCCTCTTCCGTCTCCAAAGCTGTCAGCTGAGAGGGGCGGATGCTGGCGTGGGAGGGCTCTGCGCAGTCGCCGTGAGTGCCGCTGGCTCCTGCGCGCCCTCCGCAGGCCGTGGGCAGCGCTGCAGGCGCCGCCACTAATATTGCCCGAAAGCTTGAAACGCTCCCAATTTGTACGAATGCAGGTTTTGACCAGCGAATTCTAGTTTTTACCAATCCCTAGACGTGAATCTGAAGTAGCTGTCTAACTCGGGGCAGAGACTCCCTTATCAGTGCCAGACGTGGGATTCACACCTTGAGGTGAATGCTGCATCCTTCTTCGCTGTTTCCCTTAAGAACTCATCAACTCACAGTGCACATAATAGGAATTGCCGCATTTTTTGAGCAGTTGGAGGCGTCAAGCACTGTACTCAGTGTCATATGTACATTTTCCTGCTCTTTACGAAACCTTTTGATTCGGGTTCTGTTTGCTGGTCTCGTTTACACAGAAAATTGACACTCAGCTTCACTAAGTTACTAAAAGCCGTATGATTATTGACATAGTGAGCAGGATTTAAAATTGCATTTCCTCTTACTTCACAGCATAATCGAAACATTAACTAAAACGGACCGAAGATTTAAATATGAGAGACAAAACCATAAAATTGTAGGAAACAAATATGGGGGCAGGGATTTACAAGGACTCAAAGTTTATAGTTTTTAAATATATAAAGAAACATAAATTAGATTTATAAAAATTAGAAACATGAGGCCAGCCTGGTCTATAGAGTGAGTTACAGGACAGCCAAGGCTACACAGAGAAACCCTGTCACAAACAAAACAAAACAAAAAATTAGAAACATTTGTGCTTCAAAGGATGCTACTAAGAAAGTGAAAAGACAACCCACACACAGAAAATATTTTAAGATTATACATCTAATGAATGTGTATCACCTAAAATATATAACACTTGTGAGCCTGAATATGGTAGGACTGAGGAGATTAATGCAAGAGAATTGACTGTCCTAGCCCAGCTTGGTCTACGTGAGAAAGCACTGTCAAACATTGTAAGACCAGTGAAAATAAAAAGAATTGATGAATATATAGAAAAATAAATGGGAACTTTCACACACTGATGATTAGAATGAAAAAATGATAGCCATTTTAGGAAAGTTTGGCTGGTCCTCAGAAGAGTTAAATATAGAATTATGATAGTATTCAGCAATTCTACTCTTAGGTATAATACTCAGGAGAACAAAAAAAAAAAAAACCACCCTATATTTGCATAAACACTTGATCATAAATGTTTATAGCAGCAATGTATGCAAGAGCCAAAAAGTGAAAATTGTGGTATATCCAACAATGAAACATCATTCAGCAATTAAAAATGATATACTGATACATGCTCCAGGATGGATAAACCTGGAAAACATTAGGCCAAGTGAAAAGTCATATATAAAAGGCTACATTGTATATTCTCCCACTTATATGAAATGTCTGTAGTAAGCAAAGTGGTAGTGAGTAGGTCAGTGGTTGGCGGGAGGGCATGGGATGGAACTGTTAATGTTTTTGAGGGTTAGAACAATGTGGAATTAGTGGCAACCATTTAGTGGATGTATGAGATACCACCGATTATTATTATTTTTTTAAGGGCAACTTTTTTTAGTACAGGTAAATTATATTTCAATTAAACAAGAGGGGACTTACATAGCTTTGGTCCTGACATTTAAACACAACACAGAAATGTTGTTCTACTCCTGGGAACCATCAAGCTAGTGCGCTTCTAATGATCTAATGAGCTTCTTTGCTCTCATTCTGTACCATCTCTACCTCTCCCCCCCTCACCAAAAAAAAAAAAAAAGAAAAAGTAGATTAAAGTTCTGCGACTCTAAGCCACGCACACAGGAGTCTTAACGTCTTATCTAGGTGATATATCCTGGAATAGATACCGAAGGAAACACATACCCCTTTAAAGATGCAGAGAGAGAAAGGAGAACCTCCAATAAGACCAAATACCTTGAGATCTCTCAGATGTAAAGAGCAAAGTGGTTTAAGAATCAGCTCAAGAGAGTCTCAAGGTTAGAGCTGGGGGTGGATTGTGACATCATGCCATGACCTCACACCAGAGGTCACAGCACTGAGGAATGAAGACAGTGTTTCAAAGCAGAGTCAATAATTTGATGTTAAAAGCAAATTAAAGACTCAGAGTATAGTTTTGAGAAAAAGATTGGCTAGAACCTTTTAATAAATTTTGTGTCTTTAGACTCCATGAAAATAACAGGCTTTTTTCTTTTTGGTTTCATGTGCCTGGTTAGTTTTTCAGATTGAACTTTTCCCTTGTGTCCAACTCTCTACTCTATTAAGCATTTTATATGCATTACCTCATTTAAAAGCCCAGGACCCCATGACTTAGGTAATTTTGTCTTCCTATTTTATAAAGAAAGAAATCGTGTTACTAGGGTGAAGTGTTCTTCCCAATATTGTTACAATGATTCAGCCAAGATGAGGAGAGATTCCTTGCAGCCTCTCTCCTGTAGCCTGTGAGAGAATTAGAATTTACTGGGAAAAGTAATGCAGAGGAGGAAAAAGTTCTGCCCCAAAGCTGTAACATAGAAGGCCCTATGGAATTTAGTTTCACACTCTATGACATAATAAAGCCAGGCATGGTGGCACATGCCTATAATCAATCCCAGCATTTAGGAAGCTCAGGCAAGAGGCCTGCTATGAGTTTGGGGCTAGCCTGGGCTCCATAGTGAAGTGAATCCCAGTCTATATGGACTACAGAATAAGACCCTATCTCAAAAATAAATAAATAGATAGATAGATAGATTTGCTGCAAGATGATAGGTAAAAATAAGAAGCCACAGCTGGCTGTCGTAGTGCTCGCCTTTAATCCCAGCCCTTGGGGAGGCAGAGGCAGAGCAGATCTCTGTGAGTTTGAGGCTAGTCTGGTTTACCCAGTGAGTCCAGGACAGCTGAGGCTACACATAGAAACCCTGTCTCGAAAAAAAAAAAACCCAAAGGAAAAAAAGAATCCAGAGAATGGAAAAGACCTAAGTCCATCCTCTGTCGGGGTGTGTGTGCAAAGTCAGATGAGTAGACGCAGGGCATGAGTAGAGAGTGGGCGTGAGTTACACAGTGTAATGGTTACAACAGAGGTCAACAGGCCTTCCACCAGGCCCCACACTCGATGGCCTCCAGTGGGCATCCAGAAACTCACTTCCCAGGCACACAGACTCCATTTCAGGGGCCACCATTCACAGGCATCCCTGAACCAGGCCCTTCACACTTAGACAACAGCAGTATGAAAAGAATAGTTCTGCCCAGCCTCTGAAGAAACCGGATGCTGCTGACCCCTGTCTAGAGCAGAAGTACCAATGACTTGAATTTTTTAATTTTTCTAGTTCTGAGCATTTAACTTAAGGACTCGCATAGGGTACACCAGCATTCTATCACTGTGTTATCCCACGTGGTAAATAAGAAATATCCCTCATTGTATAGTTTTAGGTATTTGAACTCTTGGTCCCCAGCTGGTGGCACTGTTTGGGGAAGTTTAGGCTGTGTGTCCTGCAGGAAGTGTGTCACTGGGGGTGGGATTTAAAACTAATGAGCCTCACCTCTTTCCAGTTTATTCTCTCTCTCTCTCTCTCACTCAAACATGCAGCTCCCAGCTTCCTGCTCCTTCGTGATGCCTGCCACTTGCTGCCTCTGCTCCCAGACATGACGGATTCTTATCCCTCTGTAACCGTAAGCCCAAACAAACTTTCTTCTATAAGTTGACTTGGTCATGGTGTTT